AGGGAATGTTTGTCTGGCTTTTGTAGAAGAAGTGATCAGGGGAGGCTCTGAAGATTGATGTAGCAGGGATGGGGGTGCGTTCCAAGAAAGCAAAGGATGGCACAAAAGGCAAAACAAGGAAATGCAGAGGCAAGTGAAAAACTGAACCAACTGGAAACCACCAGAAATTTCCCCCTTAAGTTGATTATTAATAAAATATTCATTATTAATAAAGAGAGTATGTTATTTTGAAGACATACTTGAATTGGATAGAATAAATTTATAAATATAATATAGGAGTAAAACAATCAGGAAATACTTAGAAACTTAGAGACCTTGTACATTAGTTTCTCCCACCAAAAACATGCTAAAGAGAGAAGAGAGCTGTGAGTTAGCTAAATGGGAGGCCAGAGTTGGTGTTTAGGGATTGAAGTAGCCAGGAAAACAAACAGGAAGTGAAAAGAGGGAAACCTAATGTTGGGCGCTGTGTTACAGTCTTGACCCGCTTCCTCTCATTAATGTCTCAAAACACCTTGCAAAGTAGGTAGTATTAAGCGCACTTTACAGAGGTGCAAATTGAATCTTCATATAGTCAAACATCTAGAAAATACAAATTCAAACCTAAATGACCATACCAGCCGAATATGCCTTTTGTTTCTGAAATTGCCTTTCACGCTGTTTTTCCAAGACCTTCCTCCTCCCCTCTGCTCTGGTAAGAAATTGTGAGTCAAAGCCAAATTTCTTCTCAGCCCCATTTCAGAACAGCTCTCTGTGTTGGGTCTTAGTGAGCAAGAAGGCTGTGAATGCTTCCTATGGAGACCAGTTGTAGGAGAAAAGGAGTATTTGGTTGTTTTCAGTGCCAAACAAGTTGCTAAAAAGTTGCAAAGTGCCTATTAGGCTTAAAAATTCTATCTAAAATTGTCTATCATGAGTGAAAAAATTCTAAACACCAAGAACTAGAGCGAAATATGAGAATTCATAACTTCTGCCCATCCTTCTCTTTCAGGAGAGTGTCACTGTTTGAATCTCACACAATTGCTTGAGCTGCAAATACAGAAAACCAATAATAATACATAATCCTCAGCGCTATTCATTCTGTTTTCGATAAAACGGCCCATGATCCTTATGATTCCACACTTTTCAGTCTACCCTGAAATAACATTCATCCTTTTCAAAGCCCCCAACCGTAGATCAGCCATAATGGAAGCTCTTCTTCGTGCTTTTATTGCAAGGATGTATGCTCCAACCTTCATGTCTAAAGTGTTTACCTGGCTTTTTCATAGCTGACTCAGTAGATTGGAACCTTTTCATGCAACCTGCGTGGCACGTGGTCACCAAATCTACGTGACGTCTTTATAATTTTTGTATGATTGATAGCATATTGCTCTCCACTGGTGTGGGGAATCATATCTGTTTCCTACTTGCTTCCTTTTTGTGCATGTTAAGTTACTTAATCCATTTACTTTCATGTTTGGGACTTCAAAGATAGAAATGTGAAGGAAAAGAGAGAAGCAAACAGGCTCAACAAGTCTGTGCCTGACTCTTAAGCCTAAAGATTTTCCACTACATTATATATTACCTTCCAGGATTATAAAACCAAACCTTCCTTTTCTGCACAGTAACCCAGTTAGTGGGGAGAGATAATCAGTCAATCAAGCAAATGCTTTAGGAGGAAATAAAAGCTCCTTTCTTAGAAGCCTGTAGCTCCACAATTTCCCAAAACTATCGTCCACTCTCATCTTTTAGACTTCATCCAAACCCTCATGATCCTGCATCAGCTACAATTATCCTCTATTTTAAATGCATTCGTCTGTCTGTGTTTAAAAACTTGCCCCCAAACCTTCCATTTACTATGTCATTTCTCTTTAAAACAATGTATGCAAAAGTTTTTAAACTATTGTCTTATATTGATTCTAGTGTTTCTACTAAACAAAACTCAAGGCTTAAAAAAATTTTTTTCTCAGATTAGCTTTGCCTACCCATTCTTTAATTAACTCAACTAATATTTCACCTCCATCACAGGCACACCCATCTCAGAACCTCTGAGATAAGATGAGTAAGAAAGTAACTGTTGCCTTTACGTGTATATAGTCTGTTCCCCAGCCCTACTCTCTCCGTCTCTTCCGAGTCTACTGTATTTGCCATTTCTAAAGTGCCCATCATGTTTTCAGTGGTTTGTCTGTTTCTGTTATTAATCATAAACTCCCCAGAATCGTGTCCATATGTTGCCATTAGCCAAAAAATCTGGCCATTGTCATGCTCTGAATCAAAACCATGAACTTTAGATAAGCTAATTATCTCTGAGCTTCATTTTTCTCACCTGAAAAATGCAAATAAGAGCACCCACTATATACAGAAGTGATTTTTTTAACATTTTTTATTGATTTATAATCATTTTACAGTGTTGTGTCAAATTCCAGTGTTCAGCACAATTTTTCAGTCATTCATGGACATATACACACTCATCGTCACATTTTTTTCTCTGTGATTTATCATAACATTTTGTGTATATTTCCCTGTGCTGTACAGTGTAATCTTGTTTATCTATTCTACAATTTTGAAATCCCAGTCTATCCCTTCCCACCCTCTACCCCTCTGGTAACCACAA